ACTAAATTGGTATTGACAGTGTATTGACAGTGGGATCGGAAGTTAACATCAGGCTCATTGCGGGAAACAGGACAGACTCATGATTCAGAATTAGGTACATGTGGGAGTTGTGGACTGGCAGACAGATCAAGACCGGGTGCATTGATTGAAACTAGATTGGCAGACAGTTTAGTGATTGAAGATGGACTGACAGATGGTTCAAACTCAAGACACAACATAAGCATTTAGACAGACAGACAGGTCAGGTTTAGATTCCTTGACAGAAACAGGCAAGACAGACAGTTCAAAATCAGACACATTGACAGAAACTGAATAGACAGACGGTTCACTAATGGTCTCTTTGGCAACGACAGGGTTAGCAGGGCCTACAAAAAGTTCATTTAGGGTTTCCATGACCGGTTCGGAGCAGGACAAAAGTTCAAAAGTGGCCTCCGTAGCCATTATAGGACAGGCTGAGAATTCACAGACGGCTTCCATAGCCGTTTCAAGACAGGCTGAGAGAGTTCACAGACGGTCTCCTTAGCAGTGACAGGACAGTCAGAGAGTTCACAGACGGTCTCCTTAGCCGTGACAGGACAGTCAGAGAGTTTATAGACGGCCTTCATAGCCGTGTCAGGACAGGACGAAGATTCGCAGACGGCCTCCATAGCCGTTACAGAACTGTCAGAGAGTTCACAGGCGGCCTTCCTAGCCGTGACAGGACAGATAGCAAGTTCATAGATGGCCTCCTTGGCCGGAACAGAACAGGATGAGAGTTCATAAGTGGATACCACTGACACCTCTGGAGGTTCTGCAGCGGATGCCACCACCTCTGGAGGTTCTACAGTAGGACCATCAGGATACGGGGAGAGTTCAATAATGGTTCCTTCGACCGTGACATGACAGGCTGAAGGTGCATTGCTGGGTGCCACCACCGTGCAAGGAGCTGAAGCGAGCACCGCCACCTCGGGAGGTTCTGCAGCATGGGCTGCCACCTCTGGAGAAGCTACAGCGGGCGCCACCGCCTCGGGGAACATGGCAGCGTGCACCACTACCTCGGAAGGATCTGCAGCATCAGCCGCCACCTCGGGAGACATCACAGTGGCCGCTGCCGTCTCTAAAGTTTCAGTGGTGGTGTACGCAGCCCAAATACACCATAAAGCGATCCCCATTGTGGGAAGCGCTACAGACAGGGGAAATAGTTCAGGAACTGGAGGACTTAAGAGTGCTGGTTTAGGGATACCAGCTGCACGTGCCGACAACAGCGGTGGGTCCTCCACGCTGGATGCCAGTCTGGGATACAGACGAACTGACCTCGGATTTCTGGGTGCAGTAGACAGGAAGTAACCAGACTCTGGATGACCAGCTGTGATGTGACGTGTCTCTGGATGATCAACTGTGATGTGACGTGCCTCTGGATGATCAGCTGTGATGTGACGTGAATCTGGAAGATCAGCTGTGATGTGACGTTACTCTGGATGATCAGCTGTGATGTGACGTGAATCTGGAAGATCAGCTGTGATGTGACATGACTCTGGATGATCAGCTGTGATGTGACGTGACTCTGGATGATCAGCTGTGATGTGACGTGACTCTGGATGATCAGCTGTGATGTAACGTGACTCTGGATGATCAGCTGTGATGGGACGTGACTCTGGACGAACCGCT